ACCACCTCCCCCCTTTTCATACGCCCCCCCAAAATCTAAGTTACGTACTATACTTCTACTACTACCACTTCCACCACTACTCCCACAACTACTACTACTGCTGCTACTGCCACTGCTACTACAACGACGACGACGGCACGTACCCCCCCTGCCTCCCTACTACGCCCTCCACAATCTAACTCCGTTGCCAGAGAAAAAAAAGGGGAAAAGCCATATGCTGCCACTTCCCCCCTTGCCCCCGCTACTACGCGCCTCCCGAATCTAACTAACTAATAAAAAGAAGGGAAAATCGAACGAGAGATATACGCGGCGTTCTACTACTACTACTACTACGACGACGACGACGGCTACTTGCGCATAGGCCATAGCGCCACGTCGCACCTCAATCGAACAACGGCCGCTGAGTGTGTCACCTTGATTGATTTATGCGGCAGTAGCTAACTAATTGAAAAAGAAGAAAACGGACCTACCATGCTACTCAACGCTACTACGCTACCCGTTTGATCGACGTGGAACACACACACACAAACACAGAGGCGGAAGGGTGGCGCCGGAGAGGGGGAATGGTGGCGCCGGAGAGAAAAGATAAAAAACACGCACTACCAAGCACACGCGGCTGGGGAGTGGGCGCTGGAGAGGGGGAAGGGTGGCGCCTTGGGGGAGGAGGGGGGGCGGGGGAGAAAATATAAAAAGAACCGCACTAGCAAACACTTGCGGCTGACTGGTACACCCAGCTAAGCCTCATGCGCGTCATCCCAAGCACACGCGGCTGGGGAGTGGGCGCCGGAGAGGGGGAAGGGTGGCGCCTTGGGGGAGGAGGGTGGGCGCTGTGGGGGAGAAAAGATAAAAAGAACTGCACTAGCAAACCCATGCGGCTGACTGGTACACCCAGCTAAGCCTCATGCGCGTCATCCGTGCAAGGGACATGCTAATCTTCTCTGTATCGATCCAATTTTAGCGGATGTCCCGGAGGACAAGCATTTCCCAAAAACATAAGAGAAGAGGCTGACGGCCCTGAGTTATACCAACCCCGTGTTGCTGAGTACCCTGAGTTCTACGACTGATGCAAGGACGGACGGAGGACCGGGGGGGGGGGAGAG